TTGAAACATTTTTTAATAAATTTTTCTCAAAGTACATATTATTTTTAATTAATAGTTATGCATTTACTTTTGTAATTTAAAATTTGTTCTATCCTATTATCAAATTTTCTCATGAATTTCTATTTTAAATAATTTATTAATTAATTTTTTGTTTTAATTAATTTTATTATATTCTAGTAATATTGAAGAATTTCTTTTTCATTTTCAGAACGTAAAACTCTGCTTTTAAAAGCTTTAACAAAGCTTTTATAAAGTTAATTATCTTTAATTTTAGTTATATTTATATTATATTTATATTATATTTATTTATATTATATTATATTTATATTTAGTTATATTTTAGTTATATATATATTATAAATAGGTATATAATATTGCCAGAAAAAAAATTGAAACAAAAATCAATGTCATACATAAAGTATTGGCACTTATTCTATTAATTTTGGCAGATTTAAAATGAATATTTAACAAATTTAAGGTCGCATGTCACCCTTGGCATTCATTATTTTAAGTGAGAAGTATTGCATATGCGTATTTTTCAAATTTGTAATACCTGCAACATCAAAATTATTTAAACAAAACTTAGTATTATATGATTTTATTAAAAAAATGAATTCAAAACGTACACGTGAAAAGTGACATAACGATAAAAAAGATAAAAGTTTATCAAAAAAAATAATAATAATAATGAAGTATATAAATTATCATGGCAATAAAAATATACCAATAAAATTAAATTATCATTCTGAACCAGACGTATCAATAGACGAAGAAAAATTAACGATAAGACTAGTGTCGGTTTCATATTATATCTACCAAAGTATAAAATGTAATATTGAATAAATTATATTTGGATCCTACAAGCCTATATTATAAGTTATAACCATTGAAGAAAAAACAGACTATTTTATCATCAATACAATTATTATAAATTAAATATATTTTTGTGTCTGCCTATTTAATCGTGTTTCGAATTTAGTGAACCCGTTTTTATCTTGTGGTTTTTCGTTTTTTGTTTTTAGCTATGTAAATTTAGTACCTATTGAAAAGCAATGGAATATGATTAATTGTTTATTTTTCATTTTTAGTGTTTAAATTATGTTGGAAACAAGGAAGTTGGCATGCTTAGAGAGTGTGTTTTTATTGCCCATTTGGTTATTAAGTTTATCTTAATTCTAAATATAAACATTTCAAGCGTTTAAAATCTAATAAATAAGTACTCTTATAGCTTTTAAATGATAAATATAAATAATTATTTGTGTTCGTAGCCATTATATAGCAGGTTGGGCTTATCTGATCCACCTACCTACGTATAGGGTGTAGGTATTTTTTTACTATGGATGGGCCGATACCACTTTTCACTGACACCCGATAGCATAATAACAAGTAAAAACTAAGTTGATTTTTATTATATTACATAAAAAAAATCAATTCTTTTGGTAAAAACCACGAACCAACACTAAAATTAATCCGATACCACAAACCGATATTATATAATATTAGCATTAAATTATTTTACTGTGGCCCACCTCAGTACTACCAATATTTAGTGATTAAAATATTGGTATTAATGTATTTTATGCTGGTGGTTTTTTTTGCGATTTCTGTTTTGAAAAAAAAATCAAAATAACCCCCCCCCCTAATCTTTACCATTGTCGGGGCAACGAAAAATGAATGCTGGCTCCCGCGACCCGTTGTTTCATACCCACCGTTAAGGCCAATGATTCTCAACATAGTACAGCCGCCGCGCGCCGTACCTATTGTATATTCGAAAAGTGAGCGGTGACAGTATTCACCGCCACGTAACTTGTAAACTGCCGCTTGGTGCATGACGATCATTTTTCGTCCCAACTAATATCCAATATTCACTTATTTTAAATCTTTTTAAGCCGATGCTGATTTAATTATATTACGATTAATCGATGCATGACGATCATTTTTCGTCACCCCAACTAATTAGCTAATATTCACTTGTTAAATCTTTTTGAGCTATTGCTGATTTGATTATACTACAATTAATCGTGTTGTTGAACATAAAATTTTAAATTTTGGAGTAGTAATCGTTATTGTCATCTTAGAAAATATAGTTATGAGTATTAAAACTTGACCCAAAAATGCAAATATGATTCGGACAACCAAAGACTAGTGGCTGATTAATTTACCCATTCGCACTATGTACTTTTTTATTTGTATCGCAATACATTTGTATTTGTAATATTAACTTGCTTAGTGCCTAGTTACGTTTAATTTTTGGAAAAATTTACATTTTTAAAATGTATAGACCTTATCAGCTTAATTTATATCTAATATATACATTGTCTAGGTTTTATTTTGTCATTTCTTTTCTTTGCTAAGTTATCTGAAGCACGTGCCAATTAAATAATCTACTTACTATTTTTTTATATCAATATGTGTTTTAGCATAATCTATATCCTCTCCAATGTATCATGTGACTAGTTTTGTTAAACACGTAAGAACACGCTCCCTAGTTTCTTTATCTGCAGTCAAATGCAAGGTTCGTGATTTTCCGTACCTATTTCATTCAAACACTAGCCAGCGCTGTGAGTAGTTGTCTAAACAATTTATGTCCATAGTTATTAATAAATTCCGATTCAATATGTGCTATGTACATTCCTCTTTATTTGTAAATGAAAAAAATTCACATTCAAGCAAGACGGGTGAGTTATTTATTATTTTTCTTTAGAATTTTAATTTAACAATGATTATTCTTTAAAATTAAATGATTCGTCGAGTATAAGTTTTATTTTACAAGGCATTCGGCATATTACATTTTTATATCATTAATTTGTTATTTTCGTTCTTGTTTTAATGCGTAGGTAGCAATTTTGTTCACACACTGTGGGTTTTGAATAGTATTAGCTTCACACGTCATTTAAATAGATTAGCGAATAAAAAACCCCACATAAGCTTGAAGCTCGGTGGACCATGTACAATAATTGAGATTATTGTTTGGGGACCAACATCATAAATTTTATTGTGTTTGTTAGTTTATTGCATTCGAGTTTATACCTATTTATAATAATTGCTAAAGTACTTGGGAATTTTATTTTTATTTTTAAGCAATAATACATAGTTACGCTCTTTTAGTAAATTGATTAAATAATTTGTAACTAATATAACATAAGTTATTTATTGATACAAGATGAATACTTTATTATTTTTGTTACTTATTCTATTTAATGGCATTCAAAATAAGGATATTACGCTATTGTTTTTTTATTTAACATTATTAAAACTATGAAAAATGCTGTAATTTTTACATGCCATCATAGGAAAAAATGGACAATGTCTGTTCTTAGGTTTTAATAATTCAAGTAGGAATATTATTTATTAATTTTTTTTTTTTTTGTAATAAAAAGTAGTTAATCATTACTGCTATGATAATTCAGTTATATTAGAAGCGTTGTGTTATCATTTTTGAAAATTGTTGATAGTTTGTTAAGTAAAACAATACTGTTTAAAACTGGTTTTTTTCAAGGTACCGTATACGTAGGTACGTATATTAAAAGCATTTTATTGTGTATCTCTCGTATTATATATGATGACTGGAGATTTTAATTATGTATTAGAAGTCATGAAAATCTTTTATTAATGAACACTGTTAAAAATAAATTAGGCATTTCTGATTTTATCTAATTCAACATAAAAATGCACGGAAATTATAAATGACAAATATAGGTTATTTAATATCTTAATACGAATTTTTTTACAAATTATAAATATCTTAAAACTACTAAAATTACATAGGTGTTGTCGAATTTTTTAAATGTAAAAATGTTAATAGAACACTCAAATATTATGATTCATAGATTTTAGTTTTGATTAAGACACACCTCTGCTGCTTTTTCATGATTTTTATATATAAGTTATGTCGTGTATACAATGTCAATAAAAAAACTGTTCATTTATTTTATTTTATATAAATGCATACAGTAAATAAGATACTTCGTTTTTGAAAGTCAAAACAATCTCTAATTAAACTATTAAAATATATATCGAAGTTGAACTTAAACTTAATTTACTTAATTTTTTTACACAAATACAATTGTACTATAAGTAATAATGAATAAAATAATATACACATTTCAAACATAATAAATAGTTAATAGTTTAATTTGTATTTTTTTTTTTATTTTTAACATATGTAATTTGGTTCTTGATATTATGTAAGAGGTATAATTTTTTGTAAATTAGTTTGTAATGAATGATATGCTATTATATAAATCAAGAAAAGTTATTGTTGAATTGATTTATAAAGAACCTTGATTTACGTAATCTATTTATAATTTTCCTTACACTTTTAAAATTATTTATTATATTGAAATAGTTTATAACTGTAGTAATATATTACATTATATAAAATTCAATTAATAATTATATTATGTTTGATGTATTTGATGAAATTACTTAAGAGTTGTATATGACCATGTGTTTCTTTAAAGTTTATAATTTATTTGAAACTATTGTATTTAAAAATGTATAGACTAAATGATAATTTTGTATTGTATTTAATTACTTATTGGTGTTCTAATTATACCATAATTTATCATGTTATTATTATTATTTTTAGACATTTTATTACACTTGTTCAATAATTAATCCATGCTATATAATGTACATTGTATCAGTAAGTATCAAACATAAGCGTCAGAGGTTATAAAAACTACATGTTGAGTGTTACTATCAATTATCATCAATGATTGGGTTTCATAGTTCTAAAACCAAATTACTTCTTACAAAAATATAGGAACTAGTAGATTATTATTACCTAGATTAATTAAATACGATTTGTTAATTAGGTATATCAAATTTAGTTAGCTAAATTATCAATAATTTGTTAATCTAAATTTATATTTATTGCTCGATGTATAATAAAAAGAAAATAATATATAATTCCATAAAACATTTGTAGAAAATTATTTTTTCCTCATAATCATTATTCTTTAATAAATATAAATTTTCTTTTTAAATGTTGACAGAATTATCAAATTTAGTGTTGATGCGTAATAGTACACTGGGCCAGTCGGCGCCTTCTTTATCTAGTAGTTTGGTTTGTACAAATCATTTTTTATTTCCATATAATATTTTTTGATTGAAATATAATTGTATTTTTATTTTCAGAGAGAATTACATGTTGCAGGATGTGGAAGACGTTCAAACAAGCCTAGTCAAAGAAAGAGTTTTATATCTAATACATCACCTACATTACCAAGGTGTAACTCTCCAATGTCAGGTAAATCATTTAATAACAATTGGTTTTTACGTATAAATATGTTTATTGATTGGTTATTTTATACCCAGGTAGTCCATTGGAAAGTCCCAAAGTTGTTCATTCACATCCACACTTTCCATTTGTTTCAATAAAAAGGTAATAATGAGTAAAATACATTGAGATAATCTATAGTTTTATTTGTCAAAAATTTAAATTTCACATTGTTATATTGTATTTTTTTGAAATGTATACATTTTAAAATTATTTTCAGGCCGTACAATTTACTCACAACAGATTGCCGTGATGGAAGAAGGTGGTCTGTTGCTTCTTTACCGTCATCTGGTTATGGAACCACTTCTGGGAGCTCAAATGTTTCTGTAAGCATTGACAGTCAAGTGTCTGATAGTTGTGGAAAAATTTTGAAAAACAATAATATTAATTTGCAGTCTCAGTGTTCCAGTCAAGAGCGTCTACACCAGTTGCCCAATATGCCAACTTCAGATGAATTGCACATGTTTTCCAAACATTTTTCATCCAATGACAGTACTCATAGCGCTGAAGAAGATAACATAATTTATCGTAAATCACGTTTCAATCGACCACGTTCAAGGAGCTTAAGGTTAATGTTTAAACATTGATTTCTGTAAGTATCCCGTAATTTAACATTTGACATTGTTGCAGCAGTCCAAGCAGATCACCTGTTCTTGATAATGATATTATTATGATGAATGTACTGTATAAAGATAGGTTCCCCAAGGTAAAGTAGTGAAATATTATAAATTATATTTGATTGTTTGTAATTATTTGAAAAAAATATTATGTATGTATTTTAGGCAACACATCAAATGGAGGAACGTTTAAATATGTTTATACAAGAATATGAAAAATTAAATCTAGAAAACATTGAAATATCAGCAGATGCAGTACCTATTGTTAGATTTGTAAACCATCAAGTGTTAGAGGTAGCTAGAGACTGCTTAAAGAAATCGGAAGAAAAATTAATAACTCGTGGTTATTTTTATGAAATGTCTGAAAATCTGGAATTATTATTGGCTGAGGTATATTTGTCTACACTATTAATTATTAGTAAAATATAAATATTTTTATTCTTATTTCAGGCGAGAGAAAAATCAGAAGAAGCTCATGCATTACTAACAGCAATAGTAAAAAAGTTGTTATTAATAATATCAAGACCAGCTAGGTTACTTGAATGTTTAGAGTTTGACCCTGAAGAATTTTATCATCTATTAGAACAAGCTGAAGGACAAGCTAAAATATGTCAAGGCATCAAGGACGAAATACCACAATATATAATAGGAAAATTAGGCTTAGCTCGTAACTCAGTTGATGGTAAATGTTTATTAAATATTTATATCTGGATATAATATATGTAGCTTTTGTTATAAAAGTTTATTTTTAAATTTTTTCAGATATTGACGTAAATTTTCAAAAATTAGATGAATACTCTTCATCCTTGTTAAAAAAGCCACAACAACAAAGTACCAAAAAAGATGCGTTTTCTTCTGTAAGAAAATGTTTTTATTTTCTACTTGCAAATATTTTATTGGTATAATGTTATTTTAGCCACCGTCAGAAGTCGATTTTGACGTGATAAAATTGATCTCAAATGGTGCATATGGCGCTGTGTATCTTGTTAGGCATAAACAAACCCGTCAACGATTTGCAATGAAGAAAATAATAAAGAACAATTTAATGTTACGGAATCAAATAGAACAAGTATTTGCTGAGCGAGATATAATGAGTTTTACAGACAATCCTTTTGTTGTCACTATGTACTGTAGTTTTGAAACTAGAGTAAGTAATAGTAGTTTTAAATTTATTTTTTAAGAGTTGTAATATATATATTTTTTATTTTGCGATTAGAAACATCTTTGTCTCGTAATGGAATTTGTCGAAGGAGGTGATTGTGCATCTCTTTTAAAAAACATTGGACCTTTACCACCAGACATGGCCAAATTTTATTTTGCAGAAACTGTTCTTGCTGTTGAATACCTTCATAACTATGGTATTGTACACCGTGATTTAAAGCCTGACAAGTAAATAAATTTATTTTGAATATAACCTTATTAATATAAAAAATATAATGCTAATTTTAATTTTTTAATTTTAGTCTTCTAATTACTGCGTTAGGTCACATCAAATTGACAGATTTTGGACTTAGTAAAATGGGTTTAATGTCGCGTAAGCAAATAATCTCTTGTTCATTAATATTATTGCGTATTAATGATTTGAATTTATATTATAACAGTGGCAACTAATCTGTATGAAGTACACGTGGAAAGAGATTCACGGCAGTTTTCTGACAAACAAGTATTTGGTACACCCGAGTACATAGCTCCTGAAGTAATTTTAAGGTATATTAAACCTTTATGAATATTTTATTTTTTTAATACATGGTTTTATTAAAATTGATATAGAATATTATATTTAAAATAAAAAATAAAATTTTCACTTATTTTCAGACAAGGTTATGGTAAGCCTGTGGATTGGTGGTCAATGGGAATAATATTGTATGAATTTTTGGTTGGTTGTGTTCCATTTTTTGGTGAAACTCCCGAAGAACTATTTGCTCATACAGTTAATGGTAAAATTATTTAGCTACTTTATTTATAGTCTTATATGCCTCATATAACATTATTGTATATTTTAGATGATATTGAATGGCCTGATGAAAATGAATGGCCTATTCAAGCAGAGGCTAAGAACATAATATCATCATTATTGCAACAAAATCTTAGAGACCGATTAGGTACTGGTGGATCACACGAAGTCAAAGATCATCCTTATTTTTATGGTGTGGATTGGAATTCATTGTTAAGACAAAAAGCCGAATTTATGCCGCAACTTGGAGATGAAGAAGATACTAGTTATTTTGACTGTAAACATTTTATATAATAGTAGATAGTTATGTAATTTTGTACTTATGGTTTAATTTAATTATTTCAGCCCGAACTGATCGTTACAGCCATGAAGTTGATGAAGATACAGATGACGATTCTTTAATCTTGGGTACATTTTCATCTTGCTCACCACAGTTCAAAAAAGTAGCAAGTAAATTGTCCATGAGTAATGAGTATGCATCTTTATCTCCCTCAGTGAACTATAAAGATGATTCTTTATCCATTAATAACGGTTAGCAAATAACATTATTTATTTTTGTTATTATTAATCATATAATTATATGCAGTAGAGATTTTTTTTAGTGATGATTAAGGGACTAGATAAAATATGTCATAGAAAATGAATATCATAGTATCTAAAATTATTTATGGGGGTTTATGCTTAAGCCATATTTTACAATTTTATTTATAATGTTAAAAACAAAATAAAATTAACTTAAAAACATAAAAGCACCATAAAAGTGGTTTACCAGACTCTTGATGAATTTCAACCAAATTGAACCAGTAACAAAAATAAGAATTCTTTGGGCTTATTCATTTTTAATTAGTAAATATATCAAACAAGTGTGAAATCTGTAATGTAGTTGTTTTAGATATCAATCACATATTCATAGAATGTCTGCAGTTTGCTGCTTCATGATCATCTCTCAATATTTTGCACTTGATTAACAATATTCTTGGACCAGGATGAGAGCTCAAAATATTACCTATTATATGTACATCACATTACATTTATGTCATTATTAATAAAATATGATTTTTTTTTGTTTAAAACAAATGCTATTAAATCATTATGCCAATTATATTAGTCATTATAGTTTATATAAATAAGCGTTTGCAAAATAAGAGTTTTACCGTAATCATAAGTTTATTACTCAAATATTTATAATAAATAGTTAAATAGCCAAATAGTTATCAAATCTAATATTTAATTTTTCGGAAGTCATTATACATTTTTTCTTCTATAAATTTATATACTAATATTTCTATTTATATTTAGTTGATGTACTTTAGTGTAAATTGTATGTAAATATATTGATATTTATTATAGGCATTTTTGATACTTCAGCATCGGAAGGAGAAACAGTTGATGAAAGTTTAAAATCACCTCTATCTAAGAAGACAAGTTTAAATAAGTCACTGAACGAAGATGATGAGTCTAGTTCTCAAATCAGTCGTAGACGACGTTTATACAGTAAAGAGAGTATACCGAAATTCTCAATTTCAATTGAAGATGACAGATCTCCGTAAGCCTTTAATGCTATTTATCATATTCTTGTATTGAATATTGAAATATAAATATTTACTTTTTTAATATTCTTTTTTTTCATCTTAAACATTTGAGTTTAATGAGAAAAATATACATAAAACATAAATATGAAAAACATTATACTTGTAGTAAATTGTAATTCATCAAGAAGATTATATATAAACATTAAAATACAATAAGGATCTCTAAATTATTTTTTTATCTTAAAATTAATAAATTGATAAATTTTGGTGTGGTTCATACTTAATGATACTTCAACTCGGTACTGTTTCTGTCCATATTATGTGTAAAACGTCATACTCTGAAATTGTAAGATAGTTCATCTTACAAACTGTATTTTTTTTATAGTATTCAAAAATAATAATTAATTAAATACCTTTTGAAATGTTGATAAGACTTTGTCTTAAGACTTTATATTCTTTTAGTGTTTAAATGTATACTTATCTATGTTACATTTACATTTCTAAATATATATTTGTAATAATACTTTTACAAATAATATACTTATCTAATCTGACCACTCGTGATATATTATTTAAAGTATTCAAATTTTAATGATGAATTATTTATTGTATTCCATCATTAACTTTAGGTTCATGTAATCTCTTTTATTTATACTTATCATTCAATTTACAAATTGAAGTGACAATCAAGTATCTTCTTACTAAAATTGTGATGAAATAATTTTAATGTAATTCTTTCAAATAAAAATTATTTCGTTCATTATTTTATAATTAATCTGTTAAACTTGGATCAAGTTGGATCGGAATTATAAGTTTCTTTTTGCATAAAACATTTTATTTACATTTGTTTGTTTAATATTTGACATTATTTCTTCATCTTATAAATTCAAATTTACTTCTATACCCTTCATATTTCTTTATCCTGGTGTGACATGGTTTTTTTTAAATAAATAACAAAACAACGGATTCAATTTTGTTTATGGATGCACAAATATAAATATTATAAATTTCTTAAAAGCCGATTTATCTTTTTCATTGAATTATGACATGGTTTTCATATATACATTATTTACATCAATTCTTCCATTATTTGCATATTTTGAATACTATCAATTTATTAGTAAACATGAATTAATTGATTTTAATCTTCCTCCCATCATTCAGTTTATTCTGTGAACATAATACATTTCATTAAAATAATGTTATTGATTGAATACATTACTTAAATAATTATTCTAAGTATTGTGTTGATAAACTTATCTTTTAATTTTATATTTGTTATTTTTTTTATAACCTATTCTAATGTTTCTGAGTCAGTTAAAAATATATTTTAATTATATTTTAAATTTTTTGTATTAATTTTTCCTTTTTTTTAAAAGTAAGTCCCAATTAAATCTTGTTGCCAAATCTTATTTTTGTTTAGATTGATATGTTATTAATTATAAACACTTTAATATCTTAAAATTGAGTCTTTTATAAGGAATTAATTTATTTTTATTTCTGGAATATTTTATCTGACGATTAAAGTTTATCATGAAGGAGCTTTAAACCTATCATCTCTTATAATTAATTTTAACTACAAATATATTTTTTTTTTTATGGAATAATATACATATTTATTTACCTTATTTTTAGAATAATTATTCCTGTCTAAAATATGGTCAATACGACTATACTTAAATTTAATTATATCCATATACCTATTATTGTTATTTTATATTTATCAAATTTATCTGCTTTCTGTTTCTTAATCAGTTGAATTTAATATCTCATCAGTTTATTTTTATTATATTTTTTATGTAATTTTTATTACTTAAGAAACATATCAATATTCAAATTTACTTATATTAAATATAGTTATTTTGACTACTTATAAATTCAAGCAATTAATAGAATTTTAAAATAATTTTATAAATATTTTTTTTGTATTGACTAAAAAAAATATTAGTTTAGTGTTCGATGACATATGTTATTGTTTTACCTCATTTGGTGCTATTACAATTTTATAGGATAAAAAAATGAGTACTATTTTCAAAAGTATTTGTCTTATGTTTGTCATTTTTTTTTGTTATTAATTTTTAATAATATTTTTTGTCGGATTAGAACTTCTAAATAAAAAAATGAAATGAATTTGTTATGACTTTTAATTTTTTTTGATGATGTATTTTATGTGATATTTACAAATGGTTTAACGAACTAGTCTTGTGTATATTGATTTATTATGGTAGACTTTTGATAAGCCATGAAAATATTACTTAAAATAAATTACTTCGACAATTTGAATCTTGTTTATTAAAATATGATTTTATATTTTCATCATTGTTTTAATGTTCAAAATATGATTGTCAGGCAACTTAGAAGTTTATCAGAAAACGAATCTGACGATCCTTCATCGGAGAAAAAAGAAGAATTTTTGAGTTTACCTGTATCTGCAAACTTGTGCCCAACTTTACCGCCTTCACCAAATACTATGAGTTCATCAAAATATTCCACTAGCAACTCTTTTGGTGGTCATCGAACAAGATCTGTCATCAAAAGTTTTTCGGCAACTGGATTGTCCTTGATGATACCTCCTGGTTTGTATATAACAAATATTGAATACATAATATTATCAAAAGTTAAAATATTAATGATCGTTACTTACTCGCATTGCTATAGAGTCCAGTAACGGATCGCATATGAAGTCTCCTGGATCGTGCAGTGCATTGAACTCCCCTTGTCGTGACGTTCCTTTAATTACCAGTTTGAAGCCACCTATAATATTACGTCGAGGTCCTTCTGGCTTCGGTTTTACCGTCAACACTATTCGTGTATACTTTGGCGATAGTGACTTTTACACTATGCATCATTTAGTAATGGTATGTAAATGTGCTTGAAAATTATCTATTTATGTTATCTGTTTACAGGTTGTAGGAAAATAAATGTAATTGAGTTCATGCCACTTATGAGATGTGATAGTACTTTGATGATAGTTTTGTGCATTAAAATCTAATGCGATTTCCATAATTCGAGAACTTTCAACAACTTCAAGTGGTAGTTCGTGCGTCATAAAATAATAAGTACACAGAACGGCAGTTTTTTTAGTTATCTACAAAATTTGTTAATGTTTACGTTCTTATATCAAATGAATGTAAAACATGATGTTTACATTTATGATGAAATTATTAAAAACTAATGCTTTCATAACATAACGGTTTCGATATAAACATAAACTACTTCTTCATTTTTTTTTTTAAATGTCTGCTAAAATTTAAAATAAAAATATTGAACTGAAAGCGTTAAAATTATAAAAGAATAACTAAAACGTAATTTACATTCGATTTCTTGTAAAAACAAAATATATCTGCAATAATAAATATATTAATAATTCGTTTTTGTTTAAGGCTTTTTATTCATCGGATTTTCTTTACTACTATTTACATTATTATTACATTAATTGAATGAGTTAGCTATTACATGTTTAAAGATCTTTAAACTATGTGAATTAATTTGATTACGTTTTTAATTGATTTATTGATTTTATATTCAGTATAAAAATATTAATTTAGTTAATTTTTGATATTATTAGATAGCTATTTGATATAAAAAAAAGAAAAGTTTATTTTTATATAAATTAACATTGACTTTGAATTATTATTAAATATTATATTTTTATGAATGTTTGGACATTTATATTAAATTATTTAAAAAGAGTAGATTCATCCATTGCAAACGAACTTAAGTGACTATTGACATAAAGTGTATATTTCGAATAATAATTTAAAGTGTATTGTTTACGTGTAAGTTAATCAATTCATTTATTGTAGTATATAATACACTTAAGAGAATAGCTTGAAAGAGGCTTATTATTTTTAGAATCACGTTAAAGCTAAGACTTAATATATTTGCTTTTAATGCTTATAAATAATATCAACAATTTGTAATTCAATAAGTTTAATATATATATATACAGTACACACAAAGTTTTCCGTTAGAAAGTTTAAATAGATCTGTCGAAAAAAAAAAAAATCACGATTTACTATTTTCGTTCAGTTTGAGTGTTAGAATTACCGACTTTTAATCCGTATAAGCTTAAATAAATAAATTATAAGTTACTTTATACTATATAGATAATTAATTATAATTCATATAAAATTAACTCCTATAGTTTCATTACGACCTGTATATTTTAGTGATTACTTAATGAGTAATGGGTACTTCTACGCGTTTAATAATCGTCATAATCAGGCATTGCGGTAAACAGTTTATACGTACAAGAAAACATCATAAAACAAAATTCAATATTAAATCGCGATCAACTTCTTTAAATGTTTTTCTTCTTCTTTCTCTGGCACTTCGTACTCTCTAAGAGTTTTGGCCGCTATCACAATATCTCTCCATTTTTCACGGTCCTGTACTACTTCCTTCCATTTCTTTAAAGGTTCACATTCCTTTTTACCGAGTATCCGGTTGACATAGTTACTGATTAATTTATTACGTTTAAACGCTCGTGTATTTATCTTTCGTATACATTTGTTAACAGCTAAAAAGTCAAGATCTCCTCCCACAGGTTTTTAAAAAAAAACTTATAGCTGATTGCTCTATAATCCTCAATGCCTCTACATCACGTCACCATTCATGAATTGTATTACGCACATAGTCAGCAAATACTGTACTACAGCAGTTCTTAACCTTGTGTGTGTGGGAGGGAGGAGCGGAGCAATGAAACGTAAAAACGTTATTGTTTGATTATTTTTATGTTAATCTATACATTATTTAGTCACAATTTATTGAATCTAAGTAGTGCCATCCCTTTCCTTCATTTGTACCTATCTACTTAATAATAATAAATTTAAAATATAAGAAAGTGAATATAATATGATTTGTTTTAATAACTTTAAAGTTTAATAATATTTTTTCCAATGGATAAATTTATTATAAATTTAAAAAAAATACTTCAATGATTCTCATATTATCATACTAATCCATTAATCAATATTAAAGGTGTGATATATGTATTATAAAATATATATATATAATAATATAATAATATATATATGAGGGTGGGCTTTATTTATAGAAGAAGAAATTTTTTTTTAATTTTCTTAAGTCAGGATTCTTGCCACATTTTATTTGATAATATGTAAAAGTAATTTATGTAGAATTTGGTGATGACTCATCGCCCCTTTCCCTTGCCTCAAAAGGGTTGACATTTTTTTTTATTATAGCATCACATTTTAATTAGATTGGGGGGGGATACATTAATAAATAAAAAATAATTTAAAATTTTTATTAAATAGCTCATTCACATAATTTACATTATTTATAGAGTCATCATCACCAAATTCTACTTGAATCACTTTTATATAGTATCAGTAAAATGGGGTGGTCTTAGCATGAACATTTTTTAGTTAAAATTAAGTATCCCTCCAATGTATATAAACTAAAAATATTCCGATCTTATTTTGGTGGGGATAGGCGTGACATCATAAAGTAGTACGAAAGTGGACACTTATCTGAAAGGGTTGAGAACACTTGTTGTGTACAGTATGGCTCAAAAACGGCCTAACTAATAACCTGGTTGCGGACCAGCGCACTAAACCCTCTAAACGTGGTGCTTGTTTGTTTGTCTGAACAGGCTGTGGATCCTGGAAGTCCGGCTTTTGAGGCGGGCATGAGCCCCGGTGACCTGATCACGCACGTCAACGGTGAACCGGTTCAGGGGATGAACCACACGCAGGTGTTGCAGCTGCTGCTGTCCGGCGGTGATAAGGCGACGCTGCGGTCCACTCCGCTGGAGTTCACGTCCATCAAGACGGGCGGCCGGCGCCGCGAGCCGGGACTGAGCAAATTGGCGTCGAACACGCGGCACAGGGGACTCGGGCTCGGCCACCACGCGCACCGGCACAAGCGGTCGCAGCGTAAGGACATACCGGCGGGCGAGAGCAGGCGCCGGCACAAGAACTCGCTGTTCCGCCGGATCAGCACCAAGTGCACGCCGGACTATCAACAGGTACGTGTTCTAAGTATGTAAATGTAGAGAAGGTGGGGTGGGGTATCGTGATCGAAATAATTTCACCGCGTAGGGGTGGTTTGACGGGCATTCCTGGGTCCTGGGAAATTTCGAAAATATTGTTCGTAGCTTTTTCTTGTTATTTAAAAATATGAGCTTCTTAATTGACCGCATACATTTTTACCGTTAAACGACAACAACCGTTGTGGGTCCGGAAGTCGTGGATGCCGCGAATACTTGGTTGAATGTTATTCAAAACGCATATACGAATCAAACCGCGAAAAATACCCTACGGAATGGATAAAATACGTTTAGAAATATATGAACGTTTGACTGAAAACCACCCATCGAAAATTTGATTAGGTGTCACTGAAACGCGTTTATCGATAGAAAATTATCGTCTTTGGCGTCTGTAAAAAAAATCCTGGTCCTATATTGTCGGTGGTTGTTTAGAAAATCATAGAGCAACCGATTGAAAACGAATCCCCGTGGACTAGTAATTCGGACGAACCGAAGACGGTCGGTGTATTCGATGGGGCGAATACCACGACCGTTACTTCGCGTGACACGAAAGTTTTACCGACCGTTTGTCGTTTTCACAGCTGTCACTGTTGGCCGGAGGCCGTAGCCCGGTGTCGAGCGGCCAACCATTATCGCCGGACGCATCGACGGTCACCGCCGCGTCCATCGTCGCCGGCCCCGCCGCCGGGGCCATCGATTACTCGTCGTCGACCAGCTCGTCGAGCTCGTCAGCCAACTCGTCGCCGACCGTGACGCCCAACTCGGCCACGCCGTACCAGCGACCGTCCACGCTGCACGGGCTCAAGCACAAGCTGCACTCGGTCACCAAGAACCTGCACTCGCCCAACCGACGCAAGTCGGTCGGTCACATACCGCTGTCGCCGCTCGCGCGCACCCCCTCACCGTCGCCGTTACCGCAGTCGCCGACCCGGTCGCCTAGCCCGTTGACGTTCTCGTCCGGCCACCAGCCCGGCAGCTCCAACACCACGCAGACATACAGCCCGTCCTCGCTGCTGTCCAACGCCAATGGATGCGCCGTGTCTACCGTGACGTCTGCCGCGGCCGCGGCCGGCTCCGTGTCCGCGTGCTGCGGCGGGAAGAAGGCGGCCGGCTCGTCGTTCGGCCGCCCGTGCAAGACGTCCGAGCCGGGCTCACCGCTGCTTCGCCGCGCTCTGTCCCCTGACAGGCTGCACCCGCGCACCGCCGAGACCAAGTCCAACTCGATATCGCCGCTGTGCGACCCCGCGCTCAAGGTCACAACACACCACGCGCCGCGCGTCACCGTCACCACCAAGTCGCCGCCCATGTGCGTGCGCGCGGCCTCCACCGCTTCCGGTTCGCCGTTCGTCGTCAAGACCACCGTGGTGACCACGACCACGGCCGGGACCGACGCGCCGTCGTCGCCGCCGCCGGCCGAGAAGTCGACGGCGGTCGCTGAAAGCGCGGCGGCCACGACGACCGGTACCGCGACCGCGGCGGCTGCCGAACCGGCGGTGAACAAGACGTACGCGAACGATACCGGGCACGCGTCGTTGCCTCGCATAGCCGAAGAGAGGGATCATCATCATCATCATCAGCAGCAGCAGCAACAGCAGCACCCGCAGCAATCGGTGGCGTCCGCGGTGACGACTGTCGCCTCATCCATCGCTAGAGATCGCGAGACGACCGCGGTGGTGGCCGTCGTCGACAGGCCGAAGTCGACCAAGTCGTTGCACGCCAGGTATTTCTTCAACCGGAAGTACAAGCACGGCAACCGGGGGGAACAGCAGCTCAAACCATCGGCGACGGCGGTCAGTGACGAGGCAAAGTGCGGCACGGCGAACAACAAATATTGCGCGCTGATTAACGACACGCCGCCGTCGCCGCAGCCTTGAGACGAGCGACCGTCGTTACGGCAGCCTAGTAGGCCGTACGGCCAAATCTCCGCGTTCCCGCGGACACACTCGTTCGTCTCGCCACGCCCGTTATCGTCCGACAAAACACCTTTGTCCGATTCGTTCGTTATGTTTTACTTTTTTTTTTTGTTTTTCGTTTTCGTTTTTTATTATTACTACTGTTAAGTGTTGTCGTTCCGTCTTCCGGTCCATCAGCGATCGGATGTACGGCGGCGATTATGTGTTTTAGTGTGTTTGCGTGTTTGTGTTGCACTAAACGAGGTTCGTTAACGCACGATTTACTATCGTTGTTGTTATTATTATTATTATTATTATTATTTTCTTTATGACGGTTGCGCGTCTTAGGTTAGTTTAGGTTCCGTGCGAGCCTTTAACGCGAATAAAAATATTGAACCTCGACAAATATGACTACTAACGTGTATTACAATTGTACTACGAAATATCGTTCTTATTTTTTATGTATTTAGTCTCAAAGTGCCTATTTACTTAATTCGTAGGACCAAATCAGTGTAATTCGCCTTTTTCGTCACTTTTTGCTCATCACGATAAACGCATTTATTTTTTGTATGCATGTTAAATTACGTCTTAAATGATTATAAATTTAGCGTTACATGATTGTTTAAAATTTCCGCCTCGTTAGATCTCATTACGGCCGTTACACGGTTAAGCCTTAAACCTAAACCTAAATCAACGGACAAGTTTATTGTTCGGCACCGAACTTTTTTTTTTTTTTTTTTACGCTACATTCGTCTTTTACGTAAACACTTGTTATTAACGATTTTTCCGTGTGAAACTATTATTATCATACTATTGTTTACTACTCGCTTATTGTTCAGGAACAATATTTTAATTTTCTTCCTCACACGTTTCCGACGTGTGTGCTTCATTTTCTTCTCCATAACGATCGAGTGTGTATGCGCGATTTTATTGGTGTAAGGATTCTTTCTCTCGGTTGAACTGTAGTCGTCAAGCGCGTTATTTTTTATACTTGAATTCATTATATTATGTTAATGTGTGTTTGTGTGTGTGTGTGTGTGTGTGTGTGTGTGTGAGAATTTTTGTAATTTATTATTATCTAGAAAAACTTTATCTAATATGTTATTGAAAATGTATTTCCGAGTATGTTTTCATAACACACAAGCTTCTTGTTATTTATTTGTGATACTTTGTGATAGATACAACACCCCAAATTTATTGTTTTATATTCATAGGTCTTATACTTTTAATTAGTTGTGTTAATTATGATTTAGCAACGTAGAAATCAACCTCATCATTTTTATTTGTTACATTAATATTAAGTATGATATATATATATATATATAATATATAGTAATTATTATTTAAAATCCATATTAATGTTTATTTGTTATATTCAAAATTTTATTTTATATTTACCTTTTTTTTTTTTTTTTTTTTATGTATTAATGTTTAAACAGTACTATTATCGTAGTTTTATTGATTGTATTTTAGGTTAAATTATTTATTAAATTCTTTCCAAATGTCGTAAACTAAGAAGTAAAAATAAACTTGTTAATCATTTTTAAAGACTGGAAATTATTAATCATTTAGTATATGTATACACTTAAGTACACATATTATGATCATATTTACATTATTAGACGTGTGAAGATATACATTTTTTTCTAATACATTTATTTTTAAATTATTGTTTAGTTTGTGTAACAAAAATTTTTTGTACCATTTAAAATGGGTATATATTTATCGATATAAGATATATTTTTATTAGTTTTACTCAATTTTTCTATTGTAATACGTGCGTATAATATATACTACCTAATAATAAATAAATATATTTAGAAAGAGTATTGTAATAAAAGTGCCAATTGCACATTTAGATTTGTTTATTTACAAGACGACTAACGACTGTATAACGCGTGTGAATTAATTTATACAAGTAGTAATATTTTTCTTTGGATTGACCAGGTCAAAAATAAAACTACCTAAATATAACATAAGAGTACAATACTAATGCCAATTATTATCATTAGACGAGGAAATGTTCCCGTTCCCAAACTGATGGAGTAGGTTTGTCACAAATCATAAAAATATGTATATATTATTATTTATATATATATACAATGGTGTACATTAAATCTTGCTCTGGGGGGGGTGTTAACAAAAATAATCGTTATCTTTTTTTTTTTTTCGTTGCACAGATAAATAAGATAAATAACTGCTATAAATAGATATTATTTTATACAAATTTTTTACCAATTTACAGTTTACTTTTACATTACAGTAAATTAATAGCTATTGGAATATAAAAATAGCATTGTCAACAAAACTTTTCAAACACTTATCAATATAATTATTTAATTATCATAATATTTGTATAGTTATATATTTTAAGTTCAAAGCGTAATAATGAAACTACGAATATATTATACGTCATCAATAATAAAATAATTTTTTTTTTTGGCCCGGGGGGGGGGTTGAACCCTTAAACCCTCCTTGTATGTATACCACTGTATATATATATATATATATATTAGAGGTGGCAAACCTTTTTTGATTCAATCGCCAAATTTTTCTAAGAATAAAAATAAAATTACAAATTTATTACATTATTTTTATTAAATTTTAGTATATTTAGTGAAACACAAGCAACAATTGTTTTATTGGTCAAAAAATTTCTTTCCTTTGATTTTATTAAAATCGTAATGACTCAAGCTCGGAACTTTAGGCATTTGCATATTTGATTAGAAAGTGCTTATTGAAATTCTAGTTCAATATAAATTCAATCCATAGTACACAGATTTTAAAATCAATCAATTTTGTATATTTCGTTATTTTTTATACAGATTCGCATATTTATGCTTTAAGAGATACTTTTATATGCATGTTTCATAGATTTAACGAATTTATTTTTTTTTTACAAATTTATAGTTCAACATAAAATATTAGATATATGACAACCAAAATTTTACATTTTATTTTGTTTGATAACATTAATTAATTCATCAATGACTCTAAGTATTGCTCTCAATGATATTATAATTTCTATTATACTGAAAAATCGTAATAGTAATCGCCGACTGGCCTGAATTAATTTTTATCTAAATGGCATTATTATTGTACCATAATATAAAGTGATAGTTATCAGTACTTTTACGTATGTCTTTAAAAAGATTAAAGTTTGATGAAGATTGTACAGCTTGTATAATAGGATACAACAATACATGAGTGTGCAGCGTTTAATTTTTTTAAATTTTTTTTTAATTTTTTCCCTCGTACCCCTAATTTATGTAAATTGTATAGTTTTGCATATTTTTCAAATTTATAACGCATATTATGATGATTTTTAACGCATATGTATGCGTATATTTGAGTTCTTTATAGAGCATAAAGTTCCGAGACTTAGTAATGGCGAATAAGCTTTCACAAATATAAGTTGACGAAAAATATAAAAGCATAAGGAATATTGTCATTTTTAAAATATATATAATTTGTTTATTTGAATTTCTTGTGATCAACATTTCATAAATAGTATACATTTTTTTTTGTGTATAATTTTTAATAATTTCAATTTTTTGCGCGTGTCATTAATATTTGGTCAACGTACCACGTGCAGATCTCTAGTATAAATTATGTCTGACGTGCGTTTTACGATTATCTTTATTATGTTCTTTGACTTAATGTTTCACAAATTTGCACTACTTAATTATATGGTGTACAATATTACCAATGACAAACATTTTGTACAATATAAATCGTTGTTCTATGGTCGATCAGGAACGTAGTCGTGTAGTCGTCTTGCAAAAGTTTTATTATTAAATAATATTGTATAGACAGTATTTTAAAAATCTTAAGAGGGTATATATAGTTTGTTTTAAGTAGATAGTCGTATTGTGGCTATCATACGCGTGAATCCGTGAAACAGTACGTTTTTGTAGCATGTAAATCGCGTTTTCCGTTTTGGTTTACTTATCATTGTCAAATTTTCTTTAAATTTTTTAGTTTATATATAGGTTTTTTATAGTGACATTATGGTTTTTTTTTAACATTATACATGTACAAAATAGTCAATTAAGTTGTACCTACCAAATCATTAAATTTTTTTTTTTAACTTTTATTTTATTTATTATTTGATAACATATAGTCTTACGTAATCCAATTATTCGTCTTGCAGTGTATTTCTGTTTAGTTTATTCATTAGATACATATTTTGATTTCCTACTAAAATACTTTTAACGCGGGATCCTCTATCTTCTTCCGTCGACAACAAATTTTAACTGATCCGTTAATCCATAAGATATGTTTACGACATTTTCAGGAAGAGTTAAATTATTATCTTCAGAGTGTATCGAAGTTCTAATGAGTTCTCAAAAACAACCGTTTCTAATCTTTAGAATATCTATTTTTGTTCCTATTTTCCGTTAAATTTTCTAATTTTTTCCTTGAGCTGTGAATGCTTTAAGTTTTACTGCTAAAATTTAAGTTATTCCTTTCCCCGACTAGTGTTTTATAATTGAGTTGTTAACTCTCAAAAATTATTTGTCCATCATGGTGGAACCTACAAATAACTCTTATACTCGTATTATAGCTGTCGACCAACATGTTAAACTAAAAAAAAAAAATTTAACTGTTAGTGGCAGTATTTATGTAGTATAGTTCTGTTACGTATTGTTCCATAGATGACCTAACTGAAAGTATTAGTCTAGAGGATTGTACGAGTTCAGTTTATTATTAAAAAAGTAACAATTCTTTATTTTTTCAACATCCTGATAGTATATTTATTTAATAATGTCAATTTAAAATTTGTGTGTTCTACAAAGACACTGTGATGGACTTAAATAATGTTTATACAATATTACACTTTAAAGTTCGTACTTGAAGTTTTAAATAAAATAATACTTCAAAACAACATTTCAATATGTACCTACAGTATTAATTCTTGTATGCCCATTATAATTATGTTATAAAAATACGTACCTAACCTAACCTATAAGTACGGGTGAAAGATACCGATTACTGAAAATTACATGACAACGTATTATTGCTGTGTGATATATTTACTGATTAGATACTCGAATTTGAATTCAATACAATTAATAATTTTGAAGTTTTGAACATTCTCAATACGTTCATATAATAATAACGAAATCCTTAATGTTTTGCATAAAAGTCAAACGTATACGCGTACAAAAAAATGTAGTAAACTGTATAATTTGCAATAGTAAACGTACCCAATAAATTTATGAAATAAACATTTGTACATCTCGGCTTTATGAAAATACACCAGCTAGATAAAAATAATGCAAGAAAATTATACGAAATGTTTAAACATTTCTGTTTTTCGAATTCAATCATTACTTTAATATTATATACTACCACCACATTCCTGCACGACTATTTATCTATGATAACCCTCAACTCTCAAAATAAATGTCCCGAGGCTTGGTTGTTAGATTCACAACACAGTGTATTTTTACTAGGCTGGGGTGTTTGCCCAGCGTTCAACCTGACAAGCCAGGTTGAACTAACCAATTAAGGTCAGTTTGGGGCTCAGGGACCCCGGGTTCGCCATACCCCCGTAGTTAACTGTTTACATTTGAAAGAAACATGTTGTGGAAGATATTTAGTCCCACACGAAATCTAAACGGAGAATATGAAAGAAGAATAAGCGTGGATATAGAAAAGCTGTACAACAAACCAAATATTGGAAAGTATATCAAAGCAAAACGCCTGGAGTAGGCTGGCCACGTTTGAAGAGTTGATGGACGCCTTATCCCTAATGTATTAGCTAAAAAAATAGACAAAAAGCGACCGCCAAGAAGGAGACGCAGTCAACGATGGATAAATAGAATAGATAAGGACACAAAAGAAATCGATGATGGGATTACGATAAAAATGGCAAGAGGTTGTGATAGATGGAAATGCTTGGTAGAAGCGTATTAAAGGCCTATTGAGCACTAAACAAAAATTCCTCAACTCTCGGGGGGGGGGGGGGGGTATTTTCTTGAAATGCTATACTCGAAACCTAATAATATCAATAATAATTCAGCACGATAAGTGCATATCGTCGTGTGGATATTAACGTTTTCCAACGGGCTATCGACAAATGTTCAAATGTTACGTTGCGTATCATACAGTTGTCAAACCGTTATCAAACCCGAGGCAAGCAAGTAATTATAACATTATAGGTATGGCAAGTCCGAGCGCGGGTGCGGATTCAGAAACGTAGTCTTGATTTTTCATTATTGCACTTTTCTCGACGTCGACCGTAGTCGGTACGGTAATGCGCATCAACGAGATTATTATC